TGGTTGGTCGGTTGGTTATTTGATTGGTTGGTTGGTTGGTTATTAGATTGGTTGGTTGATTATTGGATTGGTTGGTTGGTTATTTGAGTGGCTGGTTATTTTATTGACTGGTTGGTTGGTTATTTGTTTAGTTTGTTGGTTATTTGATTGGCTGGTTGGTTATTTGGTTGATTGGTTGGTTGGTTATTAGATTGGTTGGCTGGTTGGTTGGTTATTTGATTGGTTGGTTGGCTATTTGAGTAGCTGGTTTTTTTATTGACTGGTTGGTTGTTTATTTGTTTAGTTAGTTGGTTGGTTACTTGATTGGCTGGTTGGTTATTTGATTGGTTGTTTGGTTGGTTGGAGGTTGGTTGGTTATTTGATTGGTTGGTTGTTGGGTCATTTAAGATTGGTTGGTTGGTTGGTTATTTCATTGGTTGGTTGGTTATTGGATTGGTTGGTTTGTTATTTGACTGGTTGGTTATTTTTGGCTGGTTGGTTGGTCGGTTAGTTGGTTATTGGATTAGTTGGTTGGTTGGTTGGTTGTTTTGTTATTTGGTTGGTTGGTTATTTAATAGTTTGGTTTGTTTGGTTATTTGATTATTTGATTGGTTGGTTTGTTGTTTTTTTATTCAATTGGTAGGTTGGTTGGTTGTTTGGTTATTTAAATTGTTAGGTTTGTTGGTTACTTGATTGGTTGGTTGTTTTGTTATTTAAGCTGGCTGGTTGGTTATTTGACTGGTTGATTGGTTGGTTATTTTATTGGCTGGTTGGTTGGTTGGTTATTCGATTTGTTGGTTGGTTATTTGATTGGATATTTGGTTGGTTTGTTTGATATTTGATTGGTTGGTTTGTTAATTGATTGGTTGGTTATTTGATCTGATGCTTGGTTGGTTTGTTATTTGATCAGTTAATTGGTTGGTTATTTAATTGGTTGGTTGATTATTTGATTAGGTGGTTATTGTATTGCATTTTAAAATGTACATATACATAGTTAATTAAGTACACAAAAGTGGCTTTTAAAGTCAGTAGTATTATCTGCAAAAGAATGTTTTGTTTAAAAGAGTGTCCTTTTAAGATTCAAAGCACACTAAAATACATTCCTAATGCATTTAACATGAAGATTTAACTAGAGGAGATTTTTGTTGAACTATAATTATATGTAAACAAATCAATTCAGTCTGATGATAAAACCCCTTCGCTCTTTTACATTAACAGTACCTTAAATCTTCAGCTAACCTCATTTTGTGGTGTGCCAAATTGTCTTTCTCCTGCAGCTGGATGAAAAAGCCCAGATGTGGAGTACCGGACCAGCTGAAAGCCGGATCCGCATCCCGCAGGAAGAAGCGATATGCACTCACCGGACAGAAGTGGCAGCGTGAACACATCTCATACAGGTTAGAGACAAACGTCACGTCTCTTTGAGTGTTAATGATTTAACAATCAGCTCTATAAATATCACACAGGCATTAAAAGACAAAAGTGTGACATAAAAAGGAGCTCTATATTTATAACAGAAATCTAAATAAGCTGACTTAAACATGCACACTAGAAAACAGCCTACAGCCCTCCTGGGATTTATTTTTTCTTTCTTTTTAAAATATTTCCTAAATGATGCTTAACAGAGTAGGGATTCTTCACAGTATTTCCTATAATATTTTGTCTTCTAGAGAAAGTTGTATTTGTTTTATTTCGGCTAGAATAAAAGCAGTTATGAATTTTTAAAAACCATTTTAAGGTCAATATTATTAGCCCTCTCAAGCAATATTTGTTATGATTGTCTACAGAACAAACCACTGCACTAGACGGACGCACATGACTGTTAAATATAAGCACATGCGTTCATAAGTAGTTAACAATGAGTTAATTATAATGTGCCCCTACAAGTAAAGTCATGACATAAAGATACATTTACATTGAAAAAATTATTCATTGCATTTACCAATGATCTTTTTTTATGGTAAGTGGTTGCAAACAATTTATATGGGCTGAATTTAAAAAAACAAATTAAGTTGAACATTACTAAATTACTAAATTCAGCCCATGTAAATTGTTTGCAACCACCTACCTTAAAGAAATATAGTAAATCCAATGAATCTTTTTTTTCAGTGTAGCTACTGTAGAAAGTCCCTCAAATCATTGTGTCTCTGGCATCCTACATTGCAGTATACGCAATAAAGACACAGCCAAGCATTTAATAACCTCCAGCATTCTCTCCGTAACCTTCAAGAAATATATTTGAATCCCTGGAGATTTACCTTTTAAAGGGCTCCGAGGAAATGGAGTGTTCTCTCACCTCAATTTAGACTTTCCTGGTTACAGCGGCCGATAACGGAAATGATTTATTCAAATCCTAGCTATTTCTTTTTTTTAATTGATGGGCCACCTATGCAAATGGAATGTAAATGAAGACAGGCTTGGCAGTGAGTGACTGGCCTCTATAGAGGAAAGTCAGCTGAGATTTTCAGGGCCTCTCGGTCTGTTAGAGGAAGATAAAGACTTCAATGTGGGGAATTCAGCAGATCTGCCCGTCTGAGAGCACTCGGCGGAGTTCACCTCGCTAAAATCAAAATGCTTTTTCCGAGAGATGAACAAATCATACTGTAATGGTGGGGGGGTTTCGCTATGATTTGACAGCCGATCAAGGTTTCAGTGTAAATATCTGATTAAAATAGTAGAAATGATCATCATAAAAGTCTACCTTTACAGTAGGGGTGGGGCAGTATGCTAATTGTTCATTAATTCATTCGTTTTCCTTCGCCGTAGTCTCTATATCAGAGGTCACCACAGCAGAATGAACCACCAACTATTCCAACATATACTTTAAGCAGCGGATGCCCTTCCAACCAAAACCCAGTATTGGGAAACACCCATACATACTCATACACTATATCCAATTTAGTTTATCTAATTTACCAATGAAAGTTGTCATTTACTCTAGTGCGTAACGTAAACTAAACTGTTTATTATGATATAGAAAGAACACTTTTCTGTTGCTTTTCAATGTAAACACACGCTAGATGGACGTGCACAGGGCTTAATTTGTGCCGGAATACATTGGATCCGGGTCCGACACCTCTGAAATCTGATCTGGCACCTCATTTTACCAATCCCCCTCCTCAACCGCCCTCCTACCCCGTCCGCTGTTTACTTTCACTTTCTTCCATGACTCTCCAACTCTTCACCAGAAGAGGCGCCTCTCCATTCTCGGGTAACATGCCGGATCCGTAACCCCGATCTGTTCCGGGACCTCGCAATTCACAAATTAAGCACTGGACATGCATGACTGCTAAGTTTTATCACAGGAGTTCATGAGTAGATAAGTATGAGATAATGATAATGTGACCCTACAAGTAAAGTCATGGCATAAAGATACAGGCCATTTTAGTTACATCTAGCTAAAAGTAAAGTGTTAATTAATACATTGACAAACATTTAACAAGGTGCTTGATTAAAGCGTGCCTGAACTCATCAGTAGTTCATAATAAAGTAACATTTAATTTGCATATGGCGGCGCGGTGGCTCAGATGTTAGCACTGTCATATCACAGCAAAAAGGTTGCTGGTTTTAGCCCCGACTGGGTCAGCTGGTGTTTCTGTGTAGAGTTTGCATGTTCTCCTCGTGTTGGTGTGGGTTTCTTCTGGGTGCTCAGGTTTCCCCCACAGTCCAAAGACATGCGCTATAGGTGAATTGAATAAGCTTATTTGGCCGTCGTCTATGAGTGTGTGTGAATGTGAGTGTGTATGGGTGTTTCCCAGTACTGGGTTGCAACTGGAAGGGCATCCTCTGCGTAAAGCATATGATAAATAAGTTGGCGGTTCATTCCGCTGTGGTGACCCCTGATAAATAAAGGGACTAAGCTGAAGGAAAATGAATGAATGCTGTCAATAAAAATGTAAGTTGGCTCTTTTTTTGTACAATTCTTCATCAATAAACAAGAATAACCCGTAATATGTCTCGTATTCAGTATAAAGTAACACTTTTAAGTACACCCCTTATTACTTTAATTTCCCAAACAGTAATTTTTGGGCAAAGTATCTGTATCGGATTGGTATCGCCGATACTTGCCCTTATTTTACTTGGTATCGGATCGGATATGAAATCAGTGGTATCGCACATCACTGTTTAGGCGATTTCCACAACAATATATATTTATATCCAACAGTTCTGTCTGGATCTCGAATCTGATTGGCTGATAGCCGTGATATATTTAAGTAATATCAGCACCCGTATAGCCTCTTTACCCTTTGTGTATTACTCCGCCCACATACAGCCAGCAACAAGACACTACAGTTTGACAAATATTACTGCTGCTACACAACAAAATATACTTTTGAGGCTTTTTTAGTCGAGAATGTAGTTGTTTAGATTGCAACTATGCAGTTTATTTGCCAGAATAGTGCCTGTTTAAAAATATTTACAATTTCTGAGAGACAGCTCATCGGCGACAGTTGACATTTTCTATCCACAAGATGGCGCCAGAACCGCATTATAAGCCCTTACGCCCTATTCACACGGGGCTTCAGCGTCAACGCTTCCCATTCACTTTGAATGGGTGACGTCAGGCATTGCCGAACTGCATTGTGGATCCGTCGGCGCCGCTTCAGAAGCGTTCCTCGCTGCAGAAGTTGGGACCAGCTCCACTTTTCAAGCGCCGACGGAAGCGTCAGCCAATCAGATCGCTGTATGCAAATACACCAGCTCAGACAGTGGCCTATTGCTGACTGAATTTCATTGGCTGACGCTTCTAAGACGATCGTTTCAGCTCCAACTTCAGACACGCCCTCTGTCAAGCGTTGACGCTGAAGCCCCGTGTGAATAGGGCGTTACGCTTAGAAGATAAAACAGTCTGATTTCTAACTATAGCAGATCAAATCAATATTAAACTGGTAAGCACACCTGCCAACACTTCCTTTTTTCCTTTTTTCATGGGAGTATCCTGTTTTTCAGTGTCTTGAAAAATATCTAGTCAAATATTATGCAGCTGCCCTTTGGTTTCCATGAACGAGACAGAGAGTTTCTGACGGGTGCTTGATTCTTTATTATGCTCAAGACGAGAGCCATTAAACTTTCGTTGCGTAGCACCGTGAAACTACACAAAGAAACAACAAAACAACAAAATAACTCGTATACAGAATAATATGACAAATAAAGATATAATGTACAGAGCGACATATGAAAATGAAACAATGAAGTATATGAAGACAGCTTGAAACAACTAATAAGAAGGCAGAGCTCACGATTAATATATACATACAAATGAACTCATGTGGCTTAAATATTGACTTCACATACCTCGCTCCGCTTTCCCAAAGGGTTCTATTAAATAAATTGTGCAGGATTAAGCCTCCTTTTTTCCATAAATCACACAGCAATGTGTCTTCTCTTCGCTCCCGCTAGCCTGATTAACCTATTAGTCACCTAGGCTTCCGAAACACGTGACATGCTCTGATGCTCTAAAATTATTTAAAGGGATATAGTGATTTAGTGGTCACTTACATATTATTTACTGTCATCATGGCAAAGATGAAATAATCAGATATTATAAATGAGTTATTAAATGAGTTATTAAAACTATTATGTTTAGAAATGTGTTGAAAAAATCTCTCTGTTAAACAGAAAATGAGGAAAAAATGAAACAGGGTATTAGTTAAACAGGGCTAATAATTTAGGAGGGCTAATAATTATGACTTTAACTGTATAGATAGATAGATAGATAGATAGATAGATAGATAGATAGATAGATAGATAGATAGATAGATAGATAGATAGATAGATAGATAAAATGTATATTTATGTATTCTCAGCCACACTAAAAGAAAAATATACTGTGAAAAAAATCATTGCTCTGTTAAACATCACTTGGGAAATATTTGAAAAAGTATTTATTTTGTCTTCAACTGTAACTGTAGTCTTTTTTCCTCAAGACGAAACTCCACAGCTATTTAGTTTTTTTCATCTGTTTATTATTGTATGTTTCAGCATTAAAAACGTCACTCCTAAAGTGGGAAATCAAGAAACCCACGATGCGATCCGGCGGGCGTTTGACGTGTGGCAGGGAGTGACGCCGCTGCGCTTCGAGGCCGTGCCCTTCCGTGACCTGGACAGCGGCAAGCGGGACGTGGACATCACCATCATCTTCGCCTCGGGTTTCCACGGCGACAGCTCTCCTTTTGACGGAGAGGGAGGATTCCTGGCTCATGCCTATTTCCCAGGGCCGGGCATCGGGGGCGACACACACTTCGACTCGGATGAACCCTGGACGCTGGGCAACCCAAACCATGATGGTGAGAGAACGGCAGGTTAGGCCACATTTTCAATCTCCACAATTAATGAATGAATGAAGTTGCAGTTTTGTGGCAGGGCAGAGCCAAGTGGTGCATGACATCTGGGTAGGGAGGCACAAACTGTTTATAAGTCCTTGCTTTAACTAGAATGCAAGGTCCACACTTAGAGGCTTAGTAACTTGTAGTACTATGTAACTAAATTTCTTCTTAATTCGGTTGCACCACGTGTTGAATGACGTAATATCCAATCAGAAGCATTTTAATTGTAAAACTGTTTTCAAATTTTGCATTTATTTAAATCACAGATAATATATATATATATATATATATATATATATATATATATATATATATATATATATATATATTTAATTTAACTTGTATTTCATTGCAGATGATACAACAAACATTATTTCATGTTTTATTTTCAAAATAAACACATTTCTTGCAACACATTTTTAAAAAAGGGGGAACAGTGAAGCATTTAGCACTGTGTAACGTAATTCCTTTCACAACACTCAAAATCCGTTTAGCGACTGAAGACACTTATTGATGAAGTGTTTCAGTTGTAATTTTGTTCCATTTTTCCTGCAAACAAGTCTTCAAATGGGCAACAGTATGAGATCTTCATTGACGTATGTTGCGCTTCAAAATGTGCCACACATTCTCTATTGGAGAAAGGTCGGGACTGCAGACAGGCCAGTCAAGTACCAATAATTTATTTGACCTACAGATGAAAGTATAATATATTTATTTATACATACATTTTTTTAAAAATATTTCCCAAGTTATGTTTAACTGAGCAAGGAAAGTTTGACAGTATGATAATATTTTTTTTTTTCTGGAGAAAGTCTTATTTGTTTTATTACGGCTAGAATAAAAGCAGTTTTTAATTTTTTATACACCATTTTAAGAACAAAATTTTTAGCCCCCGATTGAACAAACCATTATTATACAATACCCTAATTAACCTATACTCTGTATATAACTAACCTATACCCTGTATAGAAGTGTCTTGTAAAATGAAGTGATTTGTTTAACAGAAATTGGGGGGAAAAATAGACAGGGGTCTAATAATTTGGGAAGGGGGGTGGGGGGGCTAATGATTCTGACTTCAACTGTATATATATATATATATATATATATATACGAAAACAGCTAATAGAGTATACACATTAATCAGTCACAAGTTGGCCCTAAACAGTCAAAAACAAAAAGCTGACAGAAACGAAATCAGGTGAGCAGATCATAGACTAACCTACATATTATCTTTTCACAAGATGGCAAACAAAAAACCTTGGCATGACATATATGGATTTGAACCTATTCACTGAGAAGGTGATGAATAACCCTGTGTTATTTAGCGGTTGTCGTCTCAGATTAAGATACCACAGAATGGCGCAATCAGAATCAAGTATTCAAGACAGCGCTGTAATAATATATAATAAGGACATGGAATTTAAATTCTCACTTAATAATAAAAGATTTAACAGCTCTTATTGGCATTAATGTTTTCACACAGAAACTTAAAATTGTGCTAAAGGATAGTTTAAAGTTTAAAAATGTTCTTTGGAGTATTAAAATGTTCATTAAAAGGTTTTTATTGGAACAATGATTCTGCTAATGGGTTGCTACAAAAACATTCAATTGAACCAAAAGCTGTGGACGTTTTTTCTTATGTATAGTGGCAATTCCTTGAGAAACGGAATATTAATTGAGAAAACAGTGGGCGTGTCTTGTTTTTTTCTACTGTGAGCTGATTGGATGTAGTAAAGTATGCATTTTATTCAGAAAGATGGGGAAAAGGGTTTGTGGAGAGTTATTATAACCTAACAGACTCCTCCTCCTCACCATTTCTGTTTGTTGACAGACAGCAGGAGGGGTGTGGTTAAGTATGTTAGCCACGCCCAATACCTCAGACACATGTAATCTGACAATTTAACTGAAAACAAACAGGAAGTGCATTTTCAGATTTCAATTTTAGATTGCAAGGGCATTTTTTTCTCAATGACATGCACAGATGAATTGTTCACCACAAACCTAGCACGTAAGCTAACTAAATCATACGGTTAGTTTTGATTTCATTTTGTCCATCATAATAAAGTGTGAGCTCGGGTGCTAAAACAGCGTGAATAAACAGCACTATCATTGGCCGCAGTTGATCTTCTCCGTCTGTGTGTGCATGTGCATGTTGGTGTACATGTCAGGTGTCAGCTCTGTTTGATATGTAGTATTTGCGTTACTGTTGCACCCAGTAAATGAGAGGTAATCAGATCCATCTCTCCGCTGCGAGCCGCACTTAGAGGCACTCAGCTTTAATTACCTGGGCCGACTGGATGCAGAGAGCTTTTAAGATGCTCATCTCCTTTCACCAAACGTCTCGCTGAGACAGTAATGAATGGCTGGGACTACATTCGCCACTGGCGTTTTTTTTTTTTTACTGCCGCCTGCACTCAGGACCCCTCGGCGGTTTGTTTTTTTCTGATGTTACACGTGCCTGGCATAATCACTAACCAAAGTTTCAGGCTTTATTTAGAGACATAGCGAGAGATTTGTTGGGCTTTTCCATTTGTGAGATCTGTTAACACAGAATATGAGTTTCCTAACCAAAGCTACTTTTCTATTGAATTTTCAATGTAAACACAAGTTTGACCAATGTGTTTGATCGTTCCGCTCGCGTTCCGCATTCTTTTGAAGCATCGCACACGTGAACGCCATGTCAAATTAAAAGATCTTCAACTTTATTATGCAGAGCAGCTCATCACCGCCAGCTCCAAAAGCAGTGGACCAATCAGAAAATCTTGGAGGCGGGGCAACCATTGCAAGCTTCTTTTTATAGTAAAAGTGGCATGACATGTTTTATTTGCCGTTATGTCATAGGGTAGGCGCTAATTGTGTCCAGAAATCTGGGGTGGGGATTACAACAAGAGGAGACAAGCACAAAATCATTTTAGCTTCACTTTTAAGTGCTAAAGATGATGTTAAAGACATAATCTAATAGCACATTTATCGAAAATAGGGAATTAGATTTATACACGTCACCTACTTATATTAAATATTTTTTACCGGGTTTCACAGACACGGTTTTTTATACTGAAATGCAATACTAAAGTGTCTTTCACTGACATATTTTGCACACTGGTCATATTTTTCCTAAAACATTTTATAAAAGTTATTTCCTTATTAAATTAATCATAGTTTATTACAGGCTCTGGACTTCGCATCTCAAAAATCTAATTCTATAAGACACTATGGGCTCTATTTTAATGATATAGGCACAAAGTCTGAAGCGCAGGGCGCAAAAGCATTAAGGGCATGTCTGAATCCACTTTTGCTTTTTTTAAGGATGGAAAAATCCGCTCTGCGCCATGGCGTATGGTCTAACAGGGTTGAGCTTATTCTCTTAATGAGTTGTAGGTGTGTACTGAGAATAAACCAATTAGAGTCCTTCATTTTTAAAGCTGTTAGTTGTCCAATGTCCAAATCAATTAGAGAGCTATTCAGTAGAAGAAATCAGGTTTACTTTTCGGCTTCATTGATTGTATTTACTAAGCAATAAAATCATTGTGTGCCAGTTTGCAATGGCGATCCCAACGCAATCTCACGGCAATTCGTAACTTTTTGATTCAGTGGCTAATTCATATGATTCCATATGATCTAACTCGTACATTTGCTCATCACCCAATGACAGTTAGGGTTGGATACCACGCCTCCTTTTTAAAATCGTACATTTTCGTACGACTGAACTTGCCACTAAACTAACAACACGTAAAAATATTTACGTTTCTTTGAGAGATCAGGCTGGCAATACTCCACTATTTATAGGAAGGCAGAGCCCCACAATTATTCTGCCTAGGGCTCCCAAATGTACAGGGCCGGCCCTGGCCACCGTACATACACACAGAAAGCAAAGCTGAGCCTAAATGGCAATAAATGTTTGGCAGAATAGTCAACTTTTCTACATAATTACCCTATTAAAATCCTAATTAATATGCTTTTCTGCAGAGACTGGCAGGACTAAAGGACACAACGATAATGCGAAACAGCTAATTAACTTTAAATGAGTACATGCTGTGTGAGTAGCCTTCAGCTATTGCTA